TTTAGATAAATGCCACAAAGCCACAAACATATAAGGCTCTAGTGGCATTCCAATAAAGAAATGTTACATCAATTTTATGACATTTTATAAAATAATGACACAAAAAATTATGTTCGTGACATTTACCAACAGATGCCACTAAACTTTAGTAGCAATGGCATTTTTTAAAAAATGTCAGGACACTAGGTAGGTGCAAATTACTTTTTATGGCACTTAGGTGAAAAGTTTCATAAACAAATATTTCATAGCATTTTGAAAAATGCTACTAAGTCAAAAACTTTCCAAGCTTATAATGGCATTTTAGAAAAAACAAAAAATGTCAATATATTTTTTAAATTTTTACAATGCAGTAAATGATTAAAAATAAATAAATTAAACTCAATATACACTACAAGAAAAAGCATATTCGGCGACTAAATTTCCTGACCAAAAAAATTTGGTCGCTGAAAGTATAGCTTTCAGCAACCAAAACAGCATTAGCAGTCAAAAGTAAAGCTTTTTAGCGACTAAAAAATTTTAATAGCCAAAAGTCTACAATTGGCGATCCAAACTAAGTTTGGTCGCTGATTACATGGGGTTTAGTGACAAAAAAATTTTAGTAGCCTAAAGTAAAGCTTTTTGGAAACTAAAAAAATTTAGTAGCCAAAAGTCTACAATTGGCGACTAAAAATAAGTTTGGTCACTGATTATATGGGTTTTACCAACTAAAAAAATTTTAGTAGCCAAAAATAAAGCTTTTTGGTGACTAAAAAAATTTTAGTAGCAAAAAGTCTATAATTGGCAACTAAAAAATAAGTTTAGTCGCCAAAAGTAGTTATTTTTAGCGCGGGAGAACTAAAATCCTAAGGCGGGAATTAAATTTTTTGGCGATCAAAATTTTGGTAACTGAAAGTACATCTTCGGTGACCAAATCCGATTTTGGTCGGCAAAAGTTAAGTTTTTTAGCAACTAAAAAATAATTAGTAGCCAAAAATATAGAATTGGCGACCAAAAAATATTTTTAGTCGCCAAAAGTGGTCTTTTTTTATTTTACTAGTAAATAGTTTATTTTACATAAATTATGTTCAATAAAATAATTATATTTATACATATACTTTTATATTAATACAGATGTATGTACTATATAAATAATATTGATAATGTATCTGCACCAGCTACAGCTACAGCAGCATCTCAGCCTATATCTACAGAAGAAGAGCTGCAGTTGAAGCCAAGAGAGTTGCAGTTGAGCTGCAGTTAAAGCCACAGAGTTGAGCTCATTTCTGCAGCAGAGTTATACATTTGTTACGAATCAGTTAGAGTAATTAGTTAGAGCTATTAATGCACATGTTACATATAGTGATGTGTTAGTTAGAAAGTTGTTATGTTAACTGTACCTTAGTTAACTGGTAACTAGAGTTACAATTAGTTTGTTGTATAAATATACCTGTGCTGAAGATATGTTGAATAATGAAATATCAAATTCATATTCTCTTTAAATATATGTTGCATATATAATCATATGGTGCTATAGAGGTGTAGTGGGAAGAGTATGGTGTATAAGGTTTATGGTGCGAGAGGTTGGCGGTTCGAGTCTCTGCAAGAGCGGATCAAATTGTTCTACAACGAATTATCGTCACGAATGGCACTTGATAGCGTCACGAATAGTGCCTACCATGACATTAAAGTGTCACTGAAAGGTTTTAGTCTTGATGGTGTAATGACACTTATAAGTGTCACTAACTCTTTTTTTAATGGCGCTTGATAGTGCCACAAATAATATCTACCATGATATTAAAATGTCATTAAAAGTTTTTAGCCATGATGGTGCAGTGACACTTGCAAGTATCTACCGTGGCACTTGTATCTACCGTGGCACCGATAGAAGTGGTACTTGTTCAAAATGTCACAAGACCAAAAAATGTCATTAGAAAAATAGTTTTGTGACACTTTCAAATATCACTAAACAAAGAAAATGTTGTAGTGGGTTTTCGATATCTGATCGATTTAATTTTTTACAGGGATAATATACTCGACGAATCTTAAAATTTGAACTGTTCGAATCATCAAAACGGGGCCAAAATGATCCAGTGTGATTGAAGGATTGGGATAGAGTTAATATCTCACTTTATTCAAGATCAAAATGATCACGTACTCATGTTCACCGGCCATTGTGATTGAAGGATTGGGATAGAGATATTGAGGTTTACTTCAAATATGAGTTGTTTGTTATAGTTTTGAAGATTATATTATGTCCTTTAGAGTTTTTAATTCTATTACAAATAACTCATTTTATTAATAAATCATTAAATCAATAAATAGTTTTTAATGATGTCAAAAAATTGCTTCACTTAGTAATTCAAGCAATTTTATTATTGTATAGAAGAGTAGTTACAAATTTTGACTGTGTTTGGTAAGACTTTCAAAACTTAATTCCATCTCTTGGTTTGAGTATGGTGTTTGGTTAGAGTTTTCAAAAATTGATTCCACACCCACTTTTGAAAACACGTCTACTCGATCATCCTCCTGGATCTCCGGTCGGTTGACTGGAACAATGTTCATGTTTTTTGTGTGTGTGTGTGTGTGTGTGTGGGGCACCAATTATTTTTATATTTTAAACAAAAAATATTTTAGAAATTTTTTTAATTTTTTTTATGAGTTTTGAATGAAATTTTGGATTGTGTATTTGGTTATGAGTTGTAAGTTTTTGAATCACATATCATATCTCACGTCAAAAATTTTAAACTTAATTTAAAACTCTTTTCAAAACTCATAACCAAACAAATTTTTCACATTCAAATCATAATTCCAAAACTTAAAAAATCAAAATACAACTCTATTATCAAATTATAATTCTAAAACTCTATCAAATGTTATCTTTATTTATTTTAGTTAATTTATTAAATAAAAAATATTGTCAATTGAATATTTGTAATTTTTCAAAGTATACGAGACAATCTATATTTCAAACAAATCTCAAGAGTGTATTTATAATTTATTTAAAATTAATTAAATGTGAGCTTGTAATATTCTCTATTTAAATTGTTCAATTGTTTTGTTTCAAAACATTCATTTTTAATAAATTAAGATTTTAAAGATAAAAATTTAAGATAAAATCACTTTTTAGGGACAAAATATTTTTTTTACAAAAAATATCATTATTGTATTTTTAGTGAAAAAATTAGATATTTAATGATGAATTATTATCTTTTTGGACCAAATTAAACATTTTGGGACAAAATTATTTTGTCTGTATCATCAGCTAATTCTCAAACCAATTTTTAGCGATTATTCTCGCAATGACAGAAATTGGTCCTCAAATATTTTTGATAACAATTTTCCTTTTGGGTACAAAAATTTAGTTTGTAAAACTCTTATTTATTGTTGTGACTCTCAATTATTAAATTACGTGAGAATATTAAGATGTATGAATTTCAAACATGATAGACATATTGAAAATATGCAATACCATAAGAGGGTAAAAAAAATTTAAAGAAAAAAGATGGAGTGTTGCAACCAGTGGTAGAGTCAAGAAACTAAATCAGAAGAGGCAGTTATTGATTACAACTTTAATTTTTTTTTTTCCATAACCAACAATAAGAAGATAATAATAATTTTTGAATTAATATTAAGTACAAAAACTTAAATAAATTATTACAAAAGTATTTCACTTAAAATTTTACAATTAACTTTGAGTAAAATTAAAACGAAAGTATTGCGTGTAACTAGTGTATTATGGGCAATGTAAAAAAATCATATATTTAAGTGTTAAAATAAATTATATAATGGTAAGATAGTAAAAATTTCATGTAATAGTGATATCACGTTATTGTTGACATATGATATTACCAATCAATAGTAAAGCAACATATGAAAGGGCGAACTCCACATGCAAATATAACTAATACTCTAGTAATTTTTACATATATATAGTGAGATTAATTATATTTGCATATCAATACTAATAGATATTACTTTTATATTGAGATTTTTTTCATAAAATTTTCATACATAAAAATATAATTTGTTGTAGTCACTTCATTTTTAATAAAACAGTCACTATTGTTTTCATAAATTTAAAAATGCCCTTGATATTATATTCTAAATATTATTTTTGTTCAAAATTTTATTTATATACATATGTAAAAATAAATAAATAAATAAATACCAGGGGGCCACATGACCCCTGGTCACCGTGTGGCTCCGTCACTAGTTGCAACCGAGTACTCTTTGAATCATATTCCATTATATTTATTAATTAACTTCGGAAGTGGATTGATTTTTTAACTTTTTGACTATTTTAACCGGGGGCTAAAAAGTTTTGTTTGGGAAGAGCTTTTTGATTTTTTTGACTTTTTGTAAGAGAAAGAATGTAATGATTATGGGTTAGGTGTGATTTTTTTTTTTATTGAGCTAAAAAGCATATTTTATCTTTTTGTAACTAAAATAACCTCAAATCCAACCTAACCTTCTTCCTAAAGGAAGCCATATATTGTTCTTAAAATCCTAGATTTATTCAAGCGACACAAAAAAATAATATCATAAAATAAGCTTTTTTTTGTGAAAAAAACAAAAAAAGCATTTATGTCTACACAAAATGTTAGGATTTTTTATTATTCAAAAAAGAATTATAATTGACCCCGTTCAAGATGAAAGCCATATTAATCTTACCTACACCAAAGACAACGAAAAGAAGTGAAAAATATTTTTTTTGAGAAATTTCAAGTCGGGTCCCTTAAATGTGGTAGGAACCATTTAGTTATCCGAGCACGATTTTCTCAACAATCAGTCAATGCACACTAGAAAAAAATAAAAATAAAATAAAATCAAAGGTACACGTTAAATACCTGAATTAGATTATGATACACCAAACAATGTAAAAACATTAAATAAATAAATTCTACAAGAAAGTTGGAATTCCGTCCGTTTGAATTGAAGGGTAGCTGGAAATTATGTGCTACTCGTTATTTAATCTACCACCATCCTTGACATCTTGATATTCATATAGACATATATATATATACACTTATCCAACGCTGTCTCCAAATATCAAGGACTAGAGGGAGGTACGTAACGAAAAGAATGACTGTGTTGGAATCTGTGTCCGCAGCCGGGGGCGGAGTCCTCATCGTTGGAGCCTCCGGTTTCATTGGCCAGTTCATCGCCGAAGCTAGCCTCCATGCTGATCGGCCTACGTACCTTCTCGTCCGATCGGTTGGCTCTAAAACCAACAAAACTCTTCAAGACAAAGGCGCTAAAGTTATTCATGTACTCTCTCTCTCCCTCCATTGGCAAAAATATTGAGGCTGTATTTGATTTATGAATTTAAAAATTTTGAAAAATAAAAATAAAAAATTATGTAAAATATAATTATATTTCATTCATAATTTACTTATTTTTATTCATTTTATTTCTAAATTCATAAATTAAATGCAGCCCAAGAGACGAGGGAATGTAGTTGCCCCATATAGTTAATTTTTGAAAAATAATTTTTTCTATCTATAATTTTATTTTTTAAAATTTTGTCGATGTTTCAAGAAGGGTTTTTGAATTTATCTTTCCATTGTTTTTTTTTTTTTTTTTGGGGGGCCCCTTTTTTTTTTTTTTTTCGGGGGTTTTTTGTTTTAAATATTGGTTTTTCTTTTTTGAAAAATTTACCCATAAGTCCTAGTTTTTGAAACGTTGAACCATTTAGTCCTAAAAATTTTCTTATGCTCCATTTAGTCTCATTTTTGCATCAACATGATGTGAATGATGTAAATGATCTGATGTTTCATTTTATAATTTCAAAATTTATTGAAATCTGATGAACATTAGATGTTTTTCATCCTATATTTTCAAACATTATTGAAATTTGATGAACATTAGATATTTGAAATCCAATGTTGTAACATGACTCTGATGTTATTAACATTGTATCTGATGTTATTAACATTGTAATGGGACCTTTCAGTCTATAAAAAAACTTTTAGGACTAAACAGTGCATAAGTTATTAATTTGGGATTTATTGGTGCATCCCCCTTGTTTTTTCTCATTTATCTCTTTCTCCATCTTCTTATGAATAGTAAAAAAAAATTATATTTATGATTTTTGGTGAACGTTCAATCTTACAAAACAAAAATTTTGATTCCGTCCTTATATTTGTACACAAAAATACAAACATGATAAAACCCGTTTTCAAATATATACATATATTTATTGAAAATGACACTTTTTAAGTAACATTAACAAAATGTTTTTGAAAACTGTTTCAAAATATAACATGAAAACATTATGAAAATACCATGATTTTTTTTTTTTTTTTCTGAGAAATTTTTTTCATTGTTTTTGTTTTCACAAACACACTAATTTGGATGTGATGTGATATGTAACAGGGTGTTGTCAAGGATCAAGCATTCATGGAGAAGATACTAAAAGAGCATAAGATAGATATAGTAATATCAGCTATTGGTGGTGCTAATATACTAGACCAACTCACCCTAGTCCATGCCATTAAAGCTGTCGGAACCATCAAGGTAAAAACATTTTCGTTTATGTCGTGTTTGGTTGGAAGATTTAAAGAGAAATTTAAAAATAGAAAAAAAAATTAGGTGAAATGTGAATAAAATATACCTATATTTCACTTAGTTTCACAAACAATTTTCCTTTCCTTTTCCAAATTCCTCTCCAAATGTCCCAACCAAACACAGCATTACGATGTGTTTAGTTAGAAGATTTAAGAAGAAATTTAAAAAATAAAAAATAAAATTATATAAAATTAAGTAAAATATATATATTTTTTTTTCATATTTTACTTAATTTTTTTCCTTTCCTTTTTTAGATCTCTTCTCAAAACTAAACACAAGGTTAAGAAATAAAAAAATAGAAAGCAACAAAAATAGTTCTTTCAACCTTTCCATATTTGCCAGCATTCATTCAAATTCATCGAAGAGGTCATATTTTGAATAACAAATACACAACTGTGATATACTCTTCTCTTTGACGTACTTGCAAAGCTCACAAAGTCTTTTATCGAGGTTGACACGAATACTTTGGTACGTACTTGTTGCAGAGGTTTTTGCCATCGGAGTTTGGGCATGACGTTGATAGGGCTAATCCGGTGGAACCAGGGCTCACCATGTACAACGAAAAGAGGAGGGTGCGGCGATTGATAGAAGAGTGTGGGGTGCCCTACACTTATATCTGCTGCAACTCTATTGCTTCTTGGCCATACTATGACAATACTCACCCATCGGAAGTAATTCCCCCTTTGGATGAGTTCCAAATTTATGGTGATGGCAGTGTCAAAGGTATGGCTATTGTTACGTAGTTATAGCTCAAAATTAAAAAGTAGAAGCCAACTTCACAATGAACGACCTTTGACTCAGCCTTTGTTTGGCAAGTTTTGGCCCAGGCTTTTAGTTACAATATTTACAAAAAAAAATAAATAAAAATAAAATAGATTTTTAATTTAATAAAATAAAACATCACATCTAACTTATAAATATTATATTTTTTTTCTTACAAAAATTAAAAAAATCAAAAAATTCATTCCTAACGTGACTTTTTAATACCAAACTAAGACAACTAAAAAACCAACTCACTTTTCAAAGCAACACTCAGTTGAATTTGTTTTCACATTGTAATCTTATTTTTTAATTTTTTAATTATTTCTTCTTCAGTAAGGGAAAAAAATAGAAAGGTAACCTATAATGCATGACAACTTTTTCTCATCGCGATTATTAGAGCCTCGATTCATTAGTCATTTTTAACGATTTTAGGGCATGTTTGATTGGGTGGATTAGAGTATGAGATTAGGATTATTAATCCGTGGGCCCAATTATCCTATGTTTGTTTTAAGATTTTGGTTTAGGATTATTAATCCAATGGATAATTAATCCAACAAATTTGTAGGATTATTAGTAATGGGGTAGGGGTGAGATTATTAATCCAATGGATATTAATCTAATTGGATAGTGAATACCACCTAATTTAATAGAATTATTAATATTTCACTATTAATCTTGTGAATCAAACATGACCTTAGTGATTTAGTGGGTGTTTAGAAAGCAACAGTGCTGCAGACACCCCCCACCACACGCGTGGGGGCAGGGAGAGGATGAAAAAAAATAAATAAATAAATAATTTTTGGGCCACTTGGTGCTGGGGTCTCCCCATTTTCTTTTTTTAATTTTTTAATTATTTTAATTTTTATATTTGAAAAGATAAATTAATTTTTTGTTTAATTATTATATTAAAAAATGTATTTAAAATAATGTTGAAATAAAAAATAATTAAATTATTCCTAAAAAGTTATGCCTGAAGTTGTGCAAGTACATGATGATTGATTTGATGGCATATAAAATGATTAAATTACTCATGTGTGTTGAAATGGTAAATTGGTGGGTTAGTCAAAAATTAAAAAGGCAAAATTGTAATTTTAAACCTATCTGCATCAGTTTCTAATAAAAAAAACAAAAAAAAAACAAAAACTAAGCTATAGTTGGACTTTTTGACTATTTATTTGAATGAGACTAAAATAGCCTCTCAACCTCCTTTCCAAAGACTGCCTTAATAAGCCTTCCTTTGGCAATTTGGATTGGATTGCGTTGGATTGTGGATGGAATTATTTTAGTTATAAAAAGATAAAATAAACTTTTTAACTTAATAAGATAAAATGTCACATTTAATTCATAATTATTGCATTCTTTCTCTCACAAACAGTCAAAAAAAAGTCAATCTCAAACGAGACTTTTTAACCCCAAACTAAAATAGTCAAAAAATTAAAAAGCCAACCTACTTCTCAAACGAACTCTAAATGTGCATAACTTGAATTTACAAACCAATTTTATTGATAAAACATATAAAAGTCTAGAGTTTTTTTTTTTTTTTTTTTTTTTTTTTTTTTTTGACCGTAGTGACATTTCTTTGATAGAACTCTAAGGTACTATGTTAATCCTGTTCTGGTTGGTGGTTGTGAATTTGTAACTAAGACCCGTGAATTCATAATGACCAACCACACAAGTAATTAAAATGCAGCAATATTAGAGATTTACATTTTTAAATTTACAAATATATTTATAATGATATGGTAAAAAAGTTAAGTTTTATATCATTGAGTATGTAATAAATCAAGAATTTATATATATCTTGCAATATCACTGTGAGTACAATTTTTTTAAAGTCTCAAGTATTTTCCTTTAAAAAGATACCCATTAAAATAAAATAACCTTGAAAAACTTTATTGGTCAGCTGAAACTGAAAGAAACAAACAAACAAACAAAATAAAGAAAAAAAGGAGAAAGAGATAAAGATTGATAGAGAGAAAATCCATTAAGAGTAGTTTAACTATTATACTAAGGAAAAGAAAGAAACCAAAAAAAAAAATAATAATAATAATAATTTTATTTGGATGTATATGTATGTACACATGCTAATGTACACTACAACAAATTTCAGAAACAAAAATTTAACTATAAAATCACATTTTAGGAGTGAAAGACTTTTGTTGTCAAAAGTGTTATTATTATATTTTTAGAGACGAAATTAGAGATTTAGTAATAAATTATTATCCTTTTTAAGACCAGTTAATTTTTTCTCTAAAAGTATATTTATTAGTGACATTTAAAAAAAAAATTTACTAAAAGACAATTTTTTTTAATACTTTTTGAGACGACTTTTTGACGAATATTCTTGTGACGATGGGAATTGATTCCTAAATATTTTTTGCAACAAAATTTTTCCTTTCGAAAAAAAAAAAAAATTGATCACTAAAACTTTTATATGTTGTAATGGCATTATTGCATACATATATAATTATTTTTTGTCATTGCATATATGCCATGCATAAATTTCTTTCTAGGTAGCATAGTTATAGAAAATATTAAATATAATGGTGTATGATTTTATTTGGTATTATTGACTAATAAAAGATTAAAAATAAAATTAGGTAAACAACCTTTGTCTTGGACAAACTTAACCATGTTGTCTCGACTGTTACGATGATATTATCATATGATACCAAATATGTTTCATTTTGTTTGACTGTATCAACATTTTTTTAGAACTCCACAAACATATAATCGACTACCAAACAAATCACATAAAATATAAATAGAATAATTTGAATGAAATTGTTTATCTTATTATGAGCGTCATCATGAGATATGATGGTTAAAATTGTTTTTAATAGTTGATTGTGTTTTTGATTCTGTGTGTTCCTAGTATTCTTGATAACATCTCATAACACATGCAGCAGAATTTAAAGTCAATATTAATCAAATTACAACTTGGCATAATTTGACTTTTATTTTTGATTAAAACCAATCCAAGGCTATCAACAAGATAGAAGTGAGCTAAAGTCACTCCCATTGAAAAATCATTATGTTCTAAAAATAAAAAAAGAAAAAAAGAAAAATCATTATGTGTGTAGATGTGTATATATATATATAGCCTAAGAGTATCTCCAATGATAAATAGGTAAAATAAATAGTTAAAATTATAATTTAGTAATGAACAGTGTAAAATAGTAATAATATAACAATGTTGCTCTAATGGTCAAATTGTTATTTTTTAGCTTGACCAACTTTCGGATGGTCATTCGGGCCGTCCTCCAAATTGGCAACTTTAACAAACATTTGGTGGTTGTTTGGGCAGTTGTCCAAAATTTGTTGTACTGACAATTTTAGCTATTAGTAAAACTTATGTTAAATTTGATACAAAATATAACAATTGTTATTTTTAACAGTTTCAATAGCAAACCGTTACAATGCTATATTTTTTCACACTTATTATATTTTGCATTTAACAATCCATTCAATAGACTGTTAGAGATGTAACTTGCTTAAGCTTGAATGTAGGTTGCTGATTTACATCTTTGTTTTTTTTTTTGAATAATACTATATATACTAATTAGTGTATCAATTGATAATGTGACATAATTTAAGAGATTTTTTATATTCATAATTTGTATAATCAGTAAAATTAATAATAATATCATAATTAATATTAATATATTAATTAAAATCTTAATTAATGCATATAATATCACAGTTGTTTTTTTTTAAGGTATTTACATCTTTGTTTAAAATCCACTTCTTCGAGGTAATTATTCTGTACTATAAAACTACCAAATTAATATGATGAGGTCGTACTCCCAAATTCAATAAAGCAATAATGAAATATTTGATGGCTTTGTTCTGAGTGGGTATACTTTTCAACCCGCCATAAAAGAGATTGCGAGTTCAAGGCTCGTGTAATTGTTGCGTTTATTTCTTTTTCCAAAGATTTTGATTAGAGTGAGTTTGGCAATAACTTAAATAAGTTGTTTATTAATTTATTTATTTTTTAAAATTATATTATTTATTTTTATTTTTTTTAATATGTTTTTGTGTAAAAAATTAAAAAGATAAAAAATAAGCTATATCCAAATTAAAAAATAAGCTATATCAAATGGGCGAAAAAAAAAAATGTAAAATTGTCCACTTGATTGGCTGAGTGGGGGAGAGCGCCTTTTCCATTTTAATTTAATTAATTAATTTATTATTTATATGTGAACATGCCATGTCATGGTTATGTTAGGAGCATGGATGTAATAATGCAAAAACATAGGAAATAAATAAATAATAAAAAAATCTCACATATAATTTGTTTTACTTAGTTGATACTGGTGCAATATTACATCTTAATTTAATGTAAAATTAATGTTTTGATATAATGAAACAAGTTAACATAAGAACATAGAAATATACATATCTTATATTTAGATAAATTAAATTGACTGATAAGGTTAAAATAACCAAAACTATTTCAGATAGTGTGCGTATACAAGTTTTTTTTTTTTTTTTTTTTTTGAGTTTTTTGGCTGAACATAGACACGAGATTTAACGAAGTAAACATACATTGAAGTTTAAAAATTATGAAAACATTTATTTTTCTATTCACGTGATTAAAGAATTATTAATGAAAAGAGAGTTACATATTATATAAGATGAAGTTTGTAGAAACTATACCCATGGAATTTTATCAAATTTGTGAAGTTGAATGCATTTTCTGCAAATTTGAAGAGAGAAATCTGTTATTTAAACCAACCTCTTCATATTTCATTTTCTATTGTCCTTGGTAAGACATTACCACTCATAAATTTTTTCACACCAAGTACACATGATAGACTGTAATGATAATCAACATTATTTCCCATATCTATTCGCACACTTCATTTAAAATTTTATGTTCTAATTCAAATTTCATGATTCTGTGCTATGCAGCATATTTTGTTGCAGGCTCTGATATAGGAAAATTCACCATCAAAACCGTCGACGACATTCGTACGCTGAACAAATCGGTTCATTTCCGACCATCCTGCAATTTTCTCAACATAAATGAGCTTGCATCTTTGTGGGAGAAGAAGATTGGACGCACTCTCCCCCGAGTCACTGTCTCAGAAAATGACCTACTAGCAGCAGCAGCAGGTTAAATATATATATTTTTACCCATTTCAATATTGAAATATTAATGTTTGTGTTTATTTATTTATTTATTTTGTGCTGCAGTGAATATAATCCCACAAAGTGTCGTTGCATCGTTCACACACGACATTTTCATTAAGGGATGCCAGATTAATTTTTCAATTGAAGGTCCTAATGACGTTGAAGTATGCAGCCTCTACCCTGATGAATCGTTCAGGACCGTTGATGAATGTTTCGATGATTTTGTTGTGAAGATGAATGGGAAGAATTTTACAGATGAGACGGATGGAAACACTGCCCAGAATCATGTTGTTGAAGTACTTCCCATCACAATGTGTGCTTGATTTGAAGAAATATATGTAATTGGACACATCATTATGTGAACCATATCTAATCCATCTATTATTTTTTTTATGGCAACAATTTTATTCAATAAAATTGGGAGTCAATTCGTTGCCTATTATTTATGATTTTATTTTGAACTTATCTCAATGTATTGTTTCAGTGGGAAGAAAAATTGGCGTTCGAATTCTGAAAATGAATTTATTTGAAAAGAGGATAAAGGTCTCTATAGTTTAAAAATAATGAATTATTGGTTAGGTGTATTTTTCTATTTTGCTAAATATGAGTTTTATTTTTGTGGTGCTTGCTGGATCTCAAATATTGATACCCTTCTTGGAAGAAATTTATGGTTTTTTTTTTTTTCCTCGGCAAGGAAGAAACTTTATTAATGAAAGAAACAAGACCAAAGTACAAAACAAATTCCAACAATAAAGAAAGGGAAAGTGCAAGTATCACAATGAATTAAATCATCTCAACAAGATTGGAACCAAGAAGCCCATCATAGCATTTGCTAGCAACCCCCCCTCCCCTCCCGAGTTGGTGAGAGACCAACAAGGAAACCAACCAAACACCATAACAACATCAACAACTCAGCTGAGCAAGCCTATCCTAACATTCAGCCACCATACCAATGCTACTGCTAGCTAAGTGCCCAAAGCAGACACACCAACAGCATAACACTCTTGAGTCCATCATAGACCTATATAACAGCCAATGTAATGAAAAAAACAACTATACCAACAGACCAAACTAGAACCAGAACTAAATAGACCAAGCTGAGTAGCCAAGGGACCATCACATCAGCAACCCTGCTCAAGTCACTCTCAGCCATATACACAGACATCAGAGAACACTCCCATACACAGATTCCAGACTAACACATGTTGCTGTTGCTCCCTATAAGAAAGTAGATTATAAACCAGGGGCCCTGTTGCTGCTACAAATACACTAAAACCTGATGTTTAACCTTGTGCATCGCATCAAACCTGACCACCTAAAAAAACCCTAATCCGCTTGATGTTATAAAGAAAATCATTAATGGAAAACTGACAATCCTTAGAAGAAGCTTTCAGCCAAATAGCTAACCTGATAATAATTGACTCCTTAAGCTCCTTCATAGCTGGTTGAACACTATTGAACAAGCAATCATTCTGATGTTTCCAAATGGACCAAAGGGCAACCAGAGGAATAGCATGCCATATCCTCCTTTCAGCTTTCATGAGACAGGTACCAGCCCACTAATGTAACAAACATTCAACAGATCCAGGCACAACCCATATCAATCCCTACCACTGCACTAAACTAGACCACACCTTCCAAATCAGAGGGCAAGAAATAAGGACATGTGAAATAGATTCTGCCTCTGATTTACAGAAAATACACATAGTTGAGACTTCCCCACCCAGCACTTCAACCATTTGGAGGAAAACAGTAGTTTTGATCTTATGTTTCCAAGCTAACCATAAAAAATCGAACTTTGGGTGGGAGATAATTAATCCACACTAGTCTACAAGTGCTCACAATTGCACCAAAACCCACTTCATAGTGCCTATATAAAGAAGCAACAAAGGAATGACCTGGTTTACAAGCTAGCCACCTTGGTTTGTCTTTTTCCCGAAACATAACATAGGAGCTGCTCTTAACATTTCAGTGAGCCTGGATACCTCCTCATCCTCCCACTGCCGCAAAGGCCTTCTTAAACATAAATCCCATAACCCAGACCTTTTTGTCAACAAAAAGCTTAAGAGATCCATTCTTCTTTGTTGAGAGTGAAAAAAAGTCTAGGAAAAGCCTCATTAAGACAAATACCACCACACCATATTTATCATGCCAAAATCTCACTCTACTCCCATTATCCACTTTAATTTGAAAATTGTTAACAAAAAATTGTAAAAGAGTGTTACTATGCTATGCCACTGCTAGGACATCACCCCATATCTTAGACCATCTTATGCCAAAATTTTTATTTGGAAGCCATGCTCCTTCTTCAAATTTATACTCATGACAAATCACTTTTTTCCATAAGGCCTCCTCTTCATTAACAAATCTCCACCACCACTTCATTAATAAACAAGAATTTACCTCTCTAATTCTCCCTATTCCCAACTCACCTTGATTAATGCTTTTGGTCACCTCCTTTCAATGCACTAGATGAATCTTTATTTTCAATTATGTGCCTCCCCATAAGAAAGCTGCTTATAATTTATCAATTTCCTTAGTAACTCTTTCTGGCATCCTGAAGAGAGACAGATAATACACTGGCAAACTAGATTGCACTGATTTGATTAGAGTTAACCTGCCAGCAAAGGATAGGAGCCTCATTTTCCACTCAGCAAGTCTGGCTTTGATCTTGTCAATAACAGGTTGCAAAGATTTCTTTCTACTTAGAGAGGCACCCAATAGTAAGCCCAGAAATTTCAGTGGTAAGTTCTGAGTTTTACAATTAAGCAATGAAGCAAGTTCCTTAAGAGTATTGATTGAAATTCCAACCCCACATACCATACTCTTATGGAAATTAATCTTAAGTCCTGTGATCATTTCAAAGCACCTTAAGATTCTTTTAAGATTCATTACCTTCTTCATATTAGCTTCATAGAAAAGTAATGAATCATCAGCAAACGACCACCCCATCAATATGTACCCCTTTTATCAGTCTTATTTCCCTTGCTCTAAGCAATAGAATACTTAACCCTTCTGCAACCAAATTAAACAGGAAAGGTAATAATGGATCACCCTGTCTAAGGCCTTTTTGTGGACTAAACTCTTTAGTTGGTGACCCATTCACAAGTACTGAGATTCTAGCATTTGAGATACACTCCTTCATCCAGTTAATCCATTTAGAGCCAAAGCCAAAATTGGACAACATGGAAAACAAAAAACCCTAGTTGATGGAATCATAAGCTTTTTCAAAATCGAGTTTAAACAGTAACCCCTTCTTCCTAGCTTTCTTCCACCCGTCCACAATTTCATTTGCAATCAAAACCCCATCCAAGATATTTCTTCCACCCAAAAAAACTGATTGGGTATCGCTTATTACTTCTGGCATAACTAGTTTGAGTATACTAGCTAGAACCTTAGACAAAATCTTGTATATTGATCCAATCAAGCTTATTGGCCTATAGTCATTGAGGTTGACTGCATTGACCTTCTTTGCAATTAAAGTGACAAATGAGTTGTTCATTCCAAAAGCCAATCTACCCAAACTATGGAACTCTTTCATGAACAACATCACATCTTCTTTAAACACTTTCCAATTCGTTTGAAAACACATTAAGTTAAAGCCATCGGGACCTGGTACTTTATTTCCATTGCACTCTTTGACTGCTGCCCATATCTCTTCCTTCGAAAACTCTGCTTCCAGCTGCTGAAACCAGTCACTGCATCTGACACTCTTAAAATCACAAGTTAAGACAGGTCTAATCCTCTATACTTCTGAAAAATGCCTGTTAAAGTGACCCCATACCACATTCTTCACTTGTTCTGGGTCCTCAATTACCATCCCCCTCCACCATTATAGAATTCAATGCATTCCTAATTTGCCTACTGCTAGCCATCACATGAAAAAATCTTGTGTTTCTATCCCCTTTTAAGTTCCACTCCAATCTTGACTTTTGCAACCATGACCATTCCAACATTCTACTGAGCCTCCACAATTCACTACTTGTCTCTCTTTTTAGCTTCGGCTCTGCTTCCACCAAGGGTCTATCTTCAGCCAATAAATCCAATGAGTGCAGCTAACTCTCAATTTCTTTAATTTTCTTTGAGACATTACCAAACATTTCTTTGCTCCATTGCTTTAATGCTAACTTCAATGCATGTAATTTCATTTGCAATATTACACATGCTCTTCCATTAGCTGTGACTCTTGCCAAACTCTCTCTAAAAAGGATGCAAAACTGGGGTGCAGCAACCAAGCATTAGAGAACTTAAAGGGTTTGGGTCCCCAGTCCCTTACATCCTCCATTAAAAGTAGAGGACAATGATCAGAAATGTGTCTAGGTAAACCCCACAGTTTGAACTTGAATCTTTCAATCCACTCAGGGCTCAGTAGGAATCTATCAATTTTACTCTATTTATTGCCATCGATTGCATTACACCAGGTAAATTTCCTACCCATCATTTGTAACTCGGTCAGCTCACACCTATCTATAAAATCATTGAAGTCTTTCATACCTCTTTCTCTTCTTAAGTACTCTACTCTTTCAGCTACATTTCTAATTTCATTAAAATCTCCACTCAAACACCATGGCTTTGAAAAATTGCGTCACCGCGACCGCCGACACCCTCTTGTTAGCTCTAGCCCACATAGAGCTGTTATTAAAGGGTGGCTCTCCAAGTCAAGAAGTATGAGCGAAGATGGCAGGTGACAGCCGGCCCAATAACTCTCATTCCTTAACTTTGTTTCCCTCTTCCCTTGTATATATATAAAGGCTGAGAGGAAGAGAAGATATAAGCAACACATAGTGTGTAATTTGTATGTAAGAGAATGAATTCTATAGAGGGTTGTGAGGTATGAGTTGTAATCTCCCTCTGGGATAATTCTATAGTGAGAAATATCTCTCCATAGACGTAGGCTATTGCCAAACTACGTAAATCTCTTGTATCTCCTTTCTGTGTGTGTGATTGATTTCTGAGTATCATTAATCCTAACAAATGGTATCAAAGCCCCGGTTGGTGAAAAACAGTGTGGTTTTTAAAATTTGTCAAATTTTGAAGTTGCTCGAAATCAACTTTTGAGCACACCAGGAGGTGCATCTCTTCGAGATGATTCAGACAATATAAAATTCGTCAAAATCGAAGCTAAAATGAGTGCCGTAGAGCTTGCCAAAGATTCACCAGAATTTCACTGGAAATTTCAGTTCGGCTTGAAGAAGAAGGCTGTGACGTTATCATTACATCAACACATTTTTTGAAATTACAATTTAGCCCTTGAAGTTGTAGTAAATTGCATTTCAGCACCTGAAGTTTCTGAAATTGCAATTTAGCCCCTAAAGTTGTGGTAAATTACATTTCAGCACCTAAAGTTTCTAAAATTGCAATTTAGCCCCTAAAGTTGTGGTAAAATGCATTTCAACCCCTGAAGTTTCTAAAATTGTAATTTGGCCCCTGAAATTGAGGTAAATTACATTTAAGTCCCTGAAGTTTTTGAAATTATAATTTGGCTCCTAAAGTTCTGGTAAATTGCATTTAAGCCCCTATAGTTTCTAAAATT